TCGGAGAAAGCAGTTTGGGTTTTTCCCTTTCCGTTTTCTTTGGAGGTGCACAGACGACGGGAAACACCCTTATCACTCAGTCTTTGCTAAGCCGCAAGCAGTAAGTGAAGTTAAATTAGTTAATCGCCGATTAGATAATTCAGATAGGTGATTTCAGATGTCGAAACCGGATTGGCAAACTTATTGTAATATATTTTATCATTTAAAAAATGGATTTTATGGCACTTCATTATCAATTTGTGATAATTTAGCAAAAACTGGCGAAACTTGTGGACAAATCTTATTATTTAAAATAATTGCACTTATAAAACTCGGTAAATTTATCATTTATTTATTTGGGAAAAATTTGAAGTTATTTTCAAAGCCACTGTCTCTTTCGTGAAATAATAATTATTTAAATAAAATTAATTAATTGTACCGAATTCTTTTCAGGAAAATATATGGAAGCAATAAATATTGCTGAAGATTTAAGCGGTGATCGCGATTGCTCGCTTGCAGCAGTGATTTCACTCAAAGCTGCTTATAGCTTTGCCAAGAAAGGTTTTTTTATTTGTTTAATATTTTATGATAATTAGGTAGCGCAAGTGATAAGCACTGCCCATTACTGCTGGCTAAACTCGCTCCTTTGCACATCACGACGAGCTCGCTTGTGGATAGAAATCCGGTCGGAAAGTACTTTTTAGCGAGAGGCTTATTTCTGCCAGGGACAAGGGACGAACCATGATGCTGACTGAAGTTTATCCCGCTAATCGGTCTCCGTCTCCACTTGATAAATATTTACTATTCAGCATTTTTATGAAATATTCTGTTTATTTATCGATAAATGAATAAAGAAAGACTAAGAAGTACCATGCTATTATATTTGAAATGCTCACTGAATTCTTATCAATCTTCCATTTATAGAATAATTGTGTATTAATAATATTAGTAAAGAGAATAGTAAAAATTAAGTGCTCTGGTAAAATTTTTTATAAGCGAGCAATCGTTTTTTCCAATGGGATTCGAACTAATTTAAAAATTTCTTCTGCTCGGTTTTCTCGGTTATTTCATATTTTCATTTTTTTCTACTTATTTATAAAATTTCATATTTTCTCAGTGTATCACATAGTTATCAATCCAGAATATCGCAAGGAAAAACAGCCTTGACGGATATCAGTTTTTATTTCGATGTTTCTCGATTTATACTGATAAAACGCCTTTAAGAGTCGAATGATCTTTTCTGGAAAACCGTCACATCCCATCACCCTCTGAAGTGCTGTCAACTGAAGGCAGCTGCAAAATCGATGAAATAATTCGATGAAGCAATCGATTGGCTGATATTTCAAGTGACCTGCAATCCGCCTTAACATTTGATCAGCACAACCTCATCCTGGTCTAAATCCAGTTTGTTTAGGGTGCATCCTGGTGTATCATACCGCCATAAATCTATTCATTAGAAAGGATCTCTAATAAGCTGATTCCTCGATGTTTGTATAGTATAATATAGCTAAAAGATTTGAGAGCAGTTATCAAAATACTTCAATTATTAGTGATATTAGCGGCCTGTGGAACAGCCGTTCAGTACTGGTCCAACTGTCCTAAGCATGTCAGGAAATCGTGGCTGTCGAAGGCATATGAAAACAGCAGTATGGCGGGATGTTTTTGGAATAGGATGGTCCTAATATGGAGATGGCTGCTCGATTGGACGATAATAGGAAATTATTTTGTCTACATAAAGCAACCATAAGGCGGTCAATGAAATGATCTGACATTAATGATGGTGTGTTTTGTGCTCTCTAGGGTCTGTATGGTGGGAATTGTTTGAAACTAAATAATATGCCCATCTTTCATTCTAACTTCAGTCATACGTTTGCAACTGTGAGCCATCGGTATAATAAGAAATGGTGTTCATCATTAAAGCGAAATTCCCAAAGAGGACAGACTTCGAGCTAAAATCTTCAAAAGTTATCCAAACGCTTTCACAACTCGCCTTCAGCGGTATGCTCTCTGACATGAAAATAACAGCTGGAGCAAAGCAATCTTCCCAGTCCCAATCCAGAAGAGGATAGAATATGTGGCAACTACTGAGAAATTAGCCTATCGAACATCTCTGGGGAAATTTTCCTTTTCCTTTTGAATAGAATTATTAACAGCTTGAATTAAGAGAATTCTCCTTAATATGAATTCAGATCAGGCATGTGAAGTAACCAAATGTCGATGTTAAGAGGGAATATTACTACAGATATCGGCAGCTTATTTCTTTTATAGATTTTGCCGTTTCCTTTGATTGATATCTGCACTGTGAACCAAGACGATGTTCCAGAAAAAATCATTATCTGTCTATAGGAGAAGATCCTAACTGATTCTTTCGAAATAAGAACTGAGGGCTGCGTCTTTCCTCATATATATTCAACTACATGATAAATTATGGACTCCACCTAGCTGCATTCAAAAAGTTTCCAGTTTAGTCCAGGGCATTACATCTTGAATACGCTAAAGACATAACCATTTTTGCTGATAGTTATAAAGAAAGAAATGTAAAAGATGCAAGACGTATATTATAACAACAGCAAAAATTTGAGCTAGAATAAATGTAAATAAGATGGATAGATCTTTTCTTTCTATGTACCAGATGCTGATGAAATACTTATTCTTATAACTTCACAAATTGAGGAACTATCAAATCTTAAGTATCTTTCCTTGTACCATATGGTCAAGAGAAATTCCAGCCCAGATAACCACTGAAATACGTTCTTTCGAATGGCGAAATATCAGTGGAATTGCCCTGAAATCACTGTTGAAATGAAAATCGCATCTTTCAAGTTGCAGTTTTTATTATCTTACTGCATAGCTCTGATACACGACCAAGGAGAGTGGAAGGTATTAAGAAATCTTCTGTCTTTGACCACACATGTTTTTAAGCATTTAAAGCACATTTTACGTATTCCTAATAGGAATTATAGATATCTAGCTTAGCCCTATGGTGGATGGCGTCAAAAGCGAGGACCACCAATCAAGACCTGCATACAATCAAAAGAGATTTTGGTCGTATGGGCGGCCCAGTGATAAATATTTGGATTAGATGGTAGAAAAAGGAGTGGTTTTACTTAGAAATGGCATCCGATCGAGCCGCCTTATATGTTTAGCCAGCGATAGAATATAATGGTCCGAGCTTTTAGAAGGAGTTAGCACTCGCCAATTCTGGTTAGACTCTCTTAATAGTAACAAAAAATTTTAATTTTTGGTTTTAACTAAAATTCTTTTGGCAAAGATAGAGATGGATTCTGAGCATCATGCGATTTTTTGATATCGGAAAGGTAAGTAATAAAAAAACCTTAAGACGTTAATCTAAGCTAAAAATACTCGACTGTTGCCCATCAATAAATATTTTAAATAATAATATTAATAAATCACAGTTGTAATAATAAATGGAATTTTCAATCAAGAACTAATTGAGAAAAATTTCAGATAATGAAAAAATAAAAAAAATTGATCAAGAAATTAGTTCAAATATGGCAAATATTGATGAAGAAAATTGTTATAATGCAATTCTTGTTTGCTTTTTACTTGACTTTTATGACAAAATTTCATATTTTCGATTTACGAATGAAAATGTTCAGGTAATTATTAGATTTTTATTATAATTTATGAATCTTTTACTAATTCATATCGAATTATTATTGTTTTTAGATTTATGAATATGAAAAGAGCGCTGAGTAACAAATTTTATTTAAAAAATTTAGATGAATTCAATAAAAGGATGGATTGATTTAGAAATTAATCACGATGAACAATCTGCCATTGATTACTTTGAAAGGGCTATTGCTGAAGGTTTTGTATTTCACAGATTATTTAGCATCTTTTAACGAAGTAAGGAAAAAGAAAAAGATGGAACAAAAATTGACGAGGAGAATATTTGCAGAGAAATTTTTTCCTATTCATTTTAATTTTAAAAGCCTGCAAACACACTTGTTTAATTTAATTTAAACTTTTTCAAGAACTAAAAAAAATTACCATAGTTTTTAGAAGTTTTTGAGCTGGAATTTAAAAGAATATAACACAGTTTGAAAATTTTTGAGGAAATACAAAGGAGCTTAGCTTACTTTAGATTTTCTTGAAAACGAAATTTGAAGGAATGTAACTCGCGTTAAGATTAAAATAAATGTCGTACGATTTGAGAGGATAAGGACTATGACAGTGGTTTCTAAATCCCATGCATTAGTAATAGCAAATTATTGTCACTGTTTAAACGACGATTCTTTTTCGACTTATTTACAGATGCACTTTACAGTTAAAGAAATTTTAAGAAATGTTTGTAATTAATGATTTCATTTTAATTAATTATAATTAATGGTTATTTTCATAATAATTTGCATATAAAAGGTGACTTTCTAAATTTTAAAAAACCGTATTCAGTTTTGATTTTTAGCGAATATTTTTGCTTTTTAAGATTATCCTGATGGTTACATTGGTAAAGCCTATTGTTTAAAAATGCAACGAAATATCAGTGAAATGGGGCGAAACCTTCATGAGTTAACAGCAAAATATCCGAAATTCGTGCCAGGTTTCTTTATTTACTAGTTAATTGAAATTTTATATTAGTTAAAATGTTATATTTCAGGGTTTATCGAACATGCAGACGCATTTCTTATGGCTCATAATTGGGAAAAAGCGACAGAAATGGCGCAACATGTTATTACAATTCAGGTTTTATTTTTATTTTTATTTTTAAGACTCACAGACTCATTGAGTGAATCATTCTAGAATTTTATTTAAAAAAAGTATAATAGGATGGTCACATATTTTAATCAAACGCGAAATTTCAAGTCGTATTTCTGAATTTATTAAAATGAATGAGAATGTGATTTTATATTTGGTCAGTTTTACTTTTACTGATTTTTTTTTTTGTAATTCTAAATAATATAGTGAAATAGTAAAAAAAAAAGAATTTTTAAGTCGTTTTGATGGTTTAAAATATTTAAGTCGTTTTGATGGTTTAAAATATTTTTTGAAAATGGAAAATGGATCGAAATAATTCGAAAGTATTTGAATATGATGAAATTATTCAGGATGGTTGTGTCTCAGCCCACATGCTGCAGTTACTTTATGCATATCTCGTTAATGGAAATATGGAGTTGATCGATACTTGTCTTCGTGATTTGCGTAATTCAGTTGAAAAGAGTGAATCCAACAATCATCAAATTCAATTCAAACTGGCAAAAATTTTGGGTGGAATAGGTGAAAAAGGTTCCACCACTGCACATTATGCGAAGTATATTGCATATTTTTGTAAAAAAATGAATTGAAATGGAATGAATTATTTTCTTATAAATTGTCGAAGCATATTTTGAAGGAAAAAAAAAGCAGAATATCATCCACTAATAGTATAGAAAAAGAATGAAATTTCATTCTCTTGTATTTTTCTAATTAAAATTACGAGATATATCTAATGAATTTTCTATTATTACGGCACTTATATTATTTATAACTTTTTAATATCCATATTAAGAAATTTACTGGATAATGCAATACAACTTTGGAGAAAATCGGAATATCTTGCCGAAAAAGTTCAAAGGCTTATGCATTATGACGATTTTAAAACAGCAAAACCACTAGCTATTGAAGCATTACAAATAGATTCACAACCTGAGCCTCAGATTTTACTTGGTATTCTCCAATATCCTTTTTTATTTCATTTTTTTTTTAATAGGAAAGAGATAAGTTGGAAAATTTAAACAAAATGCAAATGTGTTTAAAGAACTTATTTAATATTGCTTGTTCTTTAAAGGGATCGTTCGGTGTTTTCTGGCTGAAAATCAGATTGAAGATGCTTTAGCTCAACTAGAGTTTGTTCGCGTTACTCATCCAGCTATTTCTCAATCATCTGCAAGTTTTTTATCATTAGTTTTTTAATCTTCTTCAACCTCAAATGAATTGCTTAGAAATTTATAAATTTTTAAATTATTGCTCTAATTTTATCTAATTTTTTATTGTTTATAGTTGTTTTATTATTTGTCAGCTGTTGTTGATCGAATAACTGGTAAATCATTTGAACAAATTTTTCAAAATCTACGAAATGCTATTGATGCACATTTTTCATCTCTTCAGGTAATGGTTTTGTTGCTAAAACATATGAATTTTCAATGGTAAAAGGTCATAGAAATCGATAAACGATGCATTTTGCTTGAACTATTTTTCTTCCCTTTTGTTTTTTCGCATTTTCTGAGAAATATAATGCTATTTTAGAATGTTTTGTTTGGAATCGATTACCTTAGATTATTGGATCCAAATTTTATTATCGATATTGCAACACAGTTATATGATTTCGCTCCGTTGACTGTCAGTTTGCATTTTTTTACATTTCTTTTTTTACATTTTCTCTTTTTGGTTAAAAAAATGATAAATTTTCTTTTTTTTATATTTTCCCTTTTTTTCGCTAAAGTTATATTTTAGGTAGTGTTTAATGATTTCTTTTTTGATTAAAATAGATATATTTTATTTTCATATCACTGAATTAACATATTCATAAAATTTCAGCCTACAAATGGCGCTAATATTACATTAGGAGAGATTAGTCGAATTTTATCAATTGTTCATGATAATTGCCCTGGTTGGTTCTTTTTCATTTTACTTTTGACTGCTTTGGCCATTTTTCTTGAAAATAAATAGTGAAGTGCATTGAAAGTGAAGAAAGAAAAATAATGAAGAAGGTCTTAATTCATGTTTCAGGTTTGGTGAATACCGGTTATCTTCTGGCAAAAGCCAAATATCTTTCAAATGATTTAGCGAATGCTGAAATTTTGCTAAAATTATGCCTTGATAAGGAAGAAACGATAGCCGAGGCTTATTTACTCATGGCACAGGTTAAAATAAATTTTTTAATTTTTTTCATTGAGAAAAATATAGAATATCGCGAATATTGCTATTCTGCTGAAACCTTTTAATTTCATTCATTTAATTTAATTTAATTTAATGTTCATTTAATTTGTCATGATTTTACTATACTTTTGGTTAGTTGATTGGAAAAAAGTGAACAAAAAAGTTAGAAAATCTCAATATAAAGATTTTTTTTCGAAGTTTTTTTAGTTACAATTTTTCAGATTCACATTTATAAGAATCATTATGAAGAAGCAGGCAGATATCTCGACACTGGTTTGAGTTTCAATTTTAAGGTTCGAGAGCATCCACTATATCATCTAATCAAAGCCAAACTGCAAAAAAAATCTAATCAAATAGAGCAGTCTGTTATTACTCTTCGAAAAGCGGTAGAATTGCCAGCTTTCCAAGATAGTAATATTTCTCATTTTTTCAAAACAATTTTTATAAAGAATTCAAGTAGTTGGAAATATCGATATTCTTAATTCAGAGGTATGTGCGACAAATACATCTTAAATATATAAAAATAAATATATAAATATATACATAAATTTATATAAATTGTCAATAATTTATAAAAAAATTTGAAATTGCCGAAATTTTACAATGGAATTTCATAGTCGATTCTATATTATGATCAGTTATGATAATTTCTACGGTTTCACTATGAAAGGTATTGTCCACACTGAGGTACTGGATGATTCATTTAAACATTTATAATATTGCAGCTGTTATTAACAAACGTGATAAATTAGATGTAACAGACGCAGATCGGATCACTATTTATTTAGAATTAATTGATTCCCTCCAAGGCATTGGACAAATCGTTAGTTTAACTTTTAAAAATATTTACTAATCCTTCACTTGTTTTATTAATTTTGCTGATATTTTCGTATTAGTTGGTGGAATGTCGCCCTGGAGGGTAATGGAATGAGGCTATCATTCAGTTCATAAAGGCATTTTGGCATCGAACATCCCAACACAGGTTTTCATATATACGGGAACAGATCTCTTAAGAGTAAAGCCTGTTGGCGCTGCGCCCTATCTCCCATAATAACTGTACGGTTTATGGATATCGCTTATCCACATTCAAAGGGTAGTCCGGTCCAGAATATAGTATCAGAGGTTTTGAGTATTTTTTGCTGATAAATATGAAAAAGTGCAAGAGATACTAAGCAATTTATCGACAGCTGCAGCAAAAATTGGACTTAGGATCAATGTAAATAAATCTTATATACTTAATGGTGATAACTTACCTTTTTTATTATTTCACGAGTTGAGGCCGGACTTTAAATATTTGTGATCCATTGTTGTACCAAATGGTTAAATGAAAGGCAAAATTGCGGCCCAGATAACTGAAAAAACCTAGAAATGCATTCTTCCTTTTGACGAGCTTCTGTCGAATCGCCGTGAAATCACCATCAGAATGAAAGTATCTAAAGTTACGAATAAGTGATCCAGCGTATTATGAGGCTAACCGGTGGAAGAAAAAGGAGAACATTTCTTTTAGTCTCGGACATTAATTACATCAAACGGCGCCTTACCTTTTTAGCCAGCGCAGTCAGCCTAATCAATAATAATGGTGCTTAGAAGAAGAAATTATTTATTTTAGGTGCTATTTCTTAATGAAATGTTATTTATTTTAATAAGCAGTAAATAAAAACACTTCATGAAATTAGGATGAAGCTGATGTTATAATGGAAGAGGCGACAAGTCGGTGGTCAGGAAAAGCTGAAGAGCAACAGCTTATGCTAATGGATGCGGATCTCAAGTTGATGCGGAATGATATTGATGGAGCATTAAAAGTTCTATCGTCAGTATCACCAACTCAATCAAATTATCAAATAGCCAGGATTAAAATGGCACAAATCTACTTGGAAGAGAAAAAGGATAAACGTCAATTTGCCATCTGTTACAAGTTTCTTAATTTCATTTTCAAAAAAGGATTTTAGAAGGACTATATTTATGTAAGCTAACATTAAAAAAAATTGTTAAAAGTTATTATAATAATTTATTATAAGGGAAATAAAATTTTTTATTAAAGTCCACAAAAAATTTGCCAAAAGAAAAGAAGTGGTTTTCTTCTCTTTGTTGTTAATAAATTTGCTAAGGTTGCGGCATCAAATTAGAAATAGTGTCATTTTTTACAGTCTTTTCCTGCTCTTCGCTGACTTATTTTTAAATTTTAGACAAATAATAGAGCGCAATCCTTCTCCAGCTGCTTATATATTACTCGGAAATGCTTATATGAGCATACAAGAAGTTTGTTTGATCGTTTTTTTCATTAGTTATCGTTTTGCATTCCTAACGAAGAATTCCAATCTCGCAAGTTTCTTCTGATAATTCATAAGTAAGTTGATAGATTAAATCGGCATATGTTTTAATAATAATAATTATAGCCTGCAAAAGCAATTGAAGTATATGAAACGGCACTGAAAAATAATCCAAAGAACGATGAACTTGCCGAAAAAATTGGACAAGCCTATGTGCAGTGCCATTTGTACAATAGGGTATTTTGTTTCAACGGATTTTTGTTTTATATTTGCAATTCTTTCCTTTAATTTTGTTAATTTTTATTTTATTCTTGATTGCTATCCATGATAAATAATTTTAGAGAATAACAGAATAATTTTCCTTTATTAAGGCAGTAAATTATTATGAGGCAGCATTAAAAAGTGGCCATAAAAGCAGGATAAGACAACGTTTAGCAGAACTTCTTGTGCAGCTGGGCAATTATGAAAGATGTGAGAAGGTGCTTCGTCAAGGTCTTGAATCTAATTCGAATAGTTATGGTAATATATGTTTCAAAAATGTTTTTCAAATAGTTATGGTAATAAATATTTCAAAAATGATTTTGTCTCCTTATAATAATTTCTTAATCAATGTTGGAAAGAATGATCAAAGTATAGACTGGATAATCGAGTTCTTGCATTCTGATTATCGCCTTAAGTATCGTTATTTAGGCATTACCTCAGACAATGGTAAATCTATCATTAAACATATGAGTGGAGTTGAGGTTGCCCTCTACTTCCATCGCCACATATGTTCCTGGCAAAAATTTCTCATCATAGTAAGAGCTTCTAAGAATAGATCAGAAATGATGGGCGTTTACTTATTCTTATCTTATCTTATTAAATACTTGAAAAAATGCGATGAAATTTTTATTTTAAAAAAAATTTTTTAAAAATTTCGGATCAGTGATTTTTATTTTTATGGTTTTAAGAAGTTGCGACAATGTCCAATCATGTTTCCTATTGGATGCTCCTTTCGAAATTGCATTTCGAAAAAGGAGATTGGTTGGAAGCAGCTGAAGATCTAACCCGAGCTAAAGATCTTCAAAAATTGTTAATCAGCAAATCTCCGTCTGAACTATCGAATTTGGCTGAAGAGAAAAAATTTGCTGCCAAGTTTGATCGTTTGATCTTCGTTTTAGAAGAAAAATCTATGGTAATCTAAGTCGATTTGACAATTAATAAATTATTAAATAAGTATTTTGTAAAGTAAAAATAAATTAATTTTCATAGTCTTTTATTTTTATAATATTTATCTTTATATGTAATGGAGACGACCATTCAGCTGAAAACAAAAACAAAAATATAGATTAAGCTCGTTTAGGATTTGTTGTCAACTAGCTGAACTTCACTGGAATCGTCGTGATGGAAATAAAGCAATTGAATTTTATAAGGAGGCGATTGCATTGAATAATACCGATATCAAAGTTTGTTTATATTTTCATCTTTCGAAGAATTAGTTTAAAGAAGTTAAAAAAAAAATATGCCTCGTTGAAAGAAATGTCTCCAAATTTTAAATATTATGTTATCCATAAAGTTTCAAGTTTCGGAAAATGGCTTGACCCAATGAACTTTAAACACTGTGGGACTGTTAGTAATTTTTAGACAATGACATCACTTGCTACAATATATCTTTCCATGAACAAATTCGATGCATGTAACACTCAATGTCAATTGGTTTTAAATATCGACAAACAAAATGACGATGCTACGTTGGTCCGTCATCATATTTCATTATTAAATTTTTAAAATCTCATTTTCTTCTTCTAACAGCTCTTGTTAGGCTGGCTCCAACGGGTACAAGGGTAAGACGCTTCCAGGCGGCGAGATCTGATGCCATCGTCGACATTAATGGAAACCATTCCTTTTTCCATCGTCTAAGTCTATATATTGTTGGTCCACCTATACGTTCAAAATCTTTTCTCACCGTATCAGTCCAGGTCTTGATTGGCCCACCTCGCCTTTGACGCCATCCATCACACGGTTTAGCAAATAACGAAATATGCGTCAACTCGTGTGGTGGACGGCGGAGAATATGCCCTAACCAGCGAAGGCAGCGTTCAGTGATAACATTATTTATGCAAGTGGTATTTGAGCGAAGGTGGATGCGATGTAGTGAGATTTTATCCACTCGGCGAACCCGTAATATGTACCTTAGACAAGAGTGGTCAAAGGCAGGTAACTTCTTAATATCCTCCACTCTCATTGACCATATAGTAAGATCGAACGGATCACGGCAATATAGATGTGAACTTTCGTTTTTATGGTGATTTCACGACGGCTCCATAAAGGTTTCATCAACCGGAAGGCTGCATTTCTAGCTGCCGTGATCCGAGTTATAATATCATCTTTTGCCTGTCTATTTGGTATTAGAGTGGACCCAAGGTATTTGAAATCAGGCAGTTCCTCATCTGGCAATGAATATACAAAAAGAGGCATTTTATTTTAGCTTTTTGCACTTTAGGTGAAAAAGCTTTCGTTTTATTTATATTGACCCTATTGCGATTGTCACTGCACTTGCTGAAATGTTATTTAGCATTATTTGCATTTCATCATAACTAAAAGGGCTCATTATCAGCGTATTCAAGATCTGTGATACGATGCTTTGGATTAATTTGGACACCTCTTGAGTGCCGATAAGCGGTGTCCATTATCCAGTCTATCGTATAGTTGAATATTGTGGGGAAAAATCTCATTAATATTCATTCATTTGGACTTCAGCTATTAATATCTCTACCGAGAGGTCATAATCAGGGTAGGATGGAATCCGCGCATAGTCGTATCTCCATATGTACAGAAAAAAGGTATATAGCACTACGAAATTTTCGTTGGGAGCATGGCGATTCCCCTTCCAATATTCTACCTTTACAAAAATTCTTTTTGGGAATCCGCTCCACTATCTTTTTTCTATATAGATTTAACTTTCTTGCTGGTCTTTCATCTCTTAATAATATTATAAACTTTGCGGCCAGCGTTTTACTTCTTACTTTTCTCGTTGCGAAATCAAACTTGGTAATTAAATCTTTATTAGTAAAGACGCAAATATACAACAAAATAAAGCGAACTAATTGCCCTACTACAAAGAAATAATACAGTAAAAAAAATCAAATATAAATCAAATATAAATCAAATCAGAAATGCCCATCGTTCACTCGTCTCCCCTAATAGAAGCACAAAATGACCAAAAATGATTTTTTGAGAGCATATATTTAATTTAAAATGGGCGGAAATCCGGATGATTTGCTCATATTTACAGTTTTTTTCGCCATTTTTCGCCATATTGGCAAATATGGTATCGGGGGGTGCGCCAATAGGAAATACATTCTTCGCTTTACCGAACAATCTCATTGTTACTAATGCTTCCGGTAATACATCTAATCACCTGGAACTCTCTGGATAACCAATACTGCCAACCAGATTGATTATATCATTATATCACTTAGTCGCTCGCCATTGGAAAAGTTCAGCAATATATAGTCGTTCTATCGGGACGCTAAAACTGGTAAAATTCATGGATCAGATCATATTATGGCTCGATCCAAGATTCGCATAAAACTGACAACTTGCAAATAACGTATCCTAACGAAAGGTCCTTCAACTGCCTCAAAGATCCGAAAGCAATAAGCGTATTTTAAACCGAATTAATGAAACTCTGTGAAATGAATATCAATGACAACTCCGGAACGGCGGATAAATACTGATCCCAATTAAAGACATGTCTCCGAAAGTCAGCCACTTTCATGCTAAGATATGCTAGTAGGAATTTCGCCAGTTAGATATTGGAAGCAACTGTCGAATTGTCTGAAAAAGCTTGAATGTCGGGCTACAAGGTGCTTCAAAATTACAACGCAGCAGTATGAGCAAATAGAAATTACTATTAGAGAGAATAACCTTGATATAAAGCAATTATATAACTCTGGCAATAGTGAAGTGAAAAGGATAGTAATAATGTGCCTATTAAGATTGTTAAGGATTGCCTTAAAGAAGTAAGGGATTCTTTAAAGCCAAACTTAACTATTTGTTGTCCTAGATGTTGCTGAATCGTCCATCGCGCCATATGTACGCAATTATGAATCACCTTCAGAACAGGAAATAATAATCTCTGCCATTTAGATGCTTAAGGCCAATAAAACTGCGAGAGAAGATGGTCTTTGGGCTGAAATCTTTATATTGTCTATCATCCTTCATAATGTAGCTTCAACATATGTACTCTTTGGTATGGAAAAAAGAAATAATATCAAATGACGGGAGCAATTTTCCCAGTTCTTATGAAAGATAATAGGACATATTATCAACGAATCAGCTTAGACGTATCAGCAAAAATTTTTGCTTCTTCTCAATAACTTTTGGCAATATGGGACAGCAGGATATATCCTAACCAAGTTGGATTTCGGCGATTGTACTGATATTAACGTTAAGAAAGGTGTTGGAATCGTTTCAAATAATCCACCGTTATGTATTTCACCGATTTTGCAGCTGTCTTCGATTTAATTTATAGAGCAGCGCTTTGGTGATGGAATATGACGGAGACTATTCTAGAGACCATTCGACTCATAAAGGCGTTTTATCAGCATTGGCATAATTCTCTGTATATGGGGAATTGATATACCATTTCGAAATAAAAACTGGTTTCCTTCAAGCTATGTCCTTTCCCTACAATAGTCAACCGGATAATACACATCGCTTGTCGGCATTCAGTTATATTAATCCAGAGTTTAATATCATAAACCTTGAATACGCTAATGATAAAGTCCTTTTTGCTAATAGTTATGATGAAAAACAAATAAATTATATAATCAGTATGATCGGTTATTTCATTCAGAAATTGCTAGAGGATATTCAAAAGCAAATATTTGGATTTTTTATTTACATTTATAGATGGCAGCAGACTTACTTTATCAGTCAAATGAAACTGAAAAAGCAATCATTCATTTTGCTCAGTTGCTCGATCGTAATCCAAGTGTTTTTTTTGTTTTGTTTTTAGAATTTTCGAATAATATCGATACGAACTTCGATAATCTGATCATCTTTAAAAGCTTAAAAGTGCATTTCTTCAGAAAATGTGAAAAATATTATTTTTTATTTATTTTTAACAGTTTCACCATGCTTTATATGTTTCTGTGTTGTTTGAACTTTATAAATTTTATTTTAGGAAAAAACTATTTTTATTTCAAATTAAACTATTTCAAATTTTTATGTTTTATAGACCAATATCATGCTCTTGCTGTCTACATTGAACTTAACTGGCGAAATGGGAATATAGAACAAGCAGAAAAATATTTAAAAAATGCACTTAGTGCAAATCCACGATCAACTGTGCATGCTGGATTCAATTATTGCAAAGGATTGTATGAATGGTATAATTAGATTTTTATTTTAATTGCAAAATTAACTTGAAGTTGCTATTCGTGAAATTTTATAGTTGAAATAATTTGAACTTAATAGCTATGCTGTTACTTGCCTCAAAATTAAGTTTCTGCATTAGCATGAGTATTTTGATTTTTTATTGTTTATTAAATTATTTATTTGAATTCTTAAAGGTATATTGGTGAGCCGAATACAGCATTACAAGCATTCAATCGAGCTCGGCGAGATCTAGAATGGGGTGAACGTGCTATATACAATATGATTGAGATTTGCCTTAATCCTGATAATGAAATCATTGGGGATGAAATGCTTAATCATAGCGAGCAAACTGATAAGTTGATTGGATTTCTTTTTTCTCGCATATTTCTTTGTTAAAACATGAAAAAATCAGTATTTATATCAGTATTTTACTAAATCTATGTTAGTATTTGATAAAAAATAAAAGAAATTTTTCTTAAAAAAAAATTTTATTTTATTATTATTATTTACTATTATAATTATTTCATTATATATACAAGTATTATTAATTTTATTATTGATCATTAGTAATATTCAATACTTTCATATAGTTTTTTATTGTTGATCAGTTTCAATCGTTTTTACAAATTATATTTTAAGGATTGGAGAAAATGATAGGGAGATGAGCATAAAAACTGCTGAGCGTTTTTTAAAGGTCCGCTTTTAAATTAATTTTAAAATTTCAAGATATTAAAAAAAATATTTATGTATATATATATATGATTAAGGAACTTCGATATAAGCCAGATTTGGATTATAAATATAGATTAATGGAAGGTTTTATAATGCTGGCAAGTAATAATCGAAGTACAGTCCAACAAGCACTCAACAATTTCATTGAAATGGCTGGTGAAAATAGGGTTAATTTTCCAACTCTTTAATTAACTCTTTAATATTAACTCTTCAAAATCAAATAATGGATAAAAATGGAAAAAAATAAGTTTTTTAAAATATACCATTTATGGCAACAGAATCGCTAACTTATTTTAAAACTACTTAGATAATTGTTAGAAATCGGTGACGAAATTTGGAATTTATAGGATGTTCAAAATGTTGGAGCGATTTTGGGGTGTGCAAAAGCATATATAATTTTAAAACAAGTACCTAAAGCTAAAGCTCAACTTAAACGAGTCGTTGGGTACAATTGGACATTAGAGAATGCTGATTATCTCGAAAAATGTATTTTTGAACCAGTTGTCCTATATTATATCATTGGTAAAAGCGATGATAAAAGTGGATTTTTTTAGGTTGGCTTCTTCTTGCTAATTTGTATATAAATCAGGGGAAAAATGAGCAAACACTATCATTGCTACGAACTGTTCTTCAATATAATGCAGTAAGTTTTGTCATTTTCAAAATTTTTCAATTTAAATTTGCTTTCATTCTGGAATTTTCTGAAATATGGATTTCATCGATTTCTTCAACCATTTCCAATTGCTTATAAAAAATTTTTTTAATTTTTTCAATCGAATTTTTCAGAATCTAATTTTATTCCTTATTTTAAGAGTTCGATAAAAGCCTTAGAATATTTTGGTTATTTAAAGGAACGCGAACAAAAATGGTTGGAAGCAGCAATGAATTTTGAAAAGGCATGGAGCTTAAGCAAAAGATGCAATCCTTCAATAGGTATTTACCTCAATTTTGTACAGAAAATATATTGGATTCTTAGAGATTTTGTGATAATGAATTACTCTATCAATTTCAGATTTACTTTATTTTCCAAATGTTCCTATAATGAGGTTCTTACGGTATTAATTTCAGGTTATAAACTGGTACAAGAAGAGGTTCTTACGGTATTAATTTCAGGTTATAAACTGGCTCATAATTATTTAAAATGCAAAAAATTATTCGATGCTATTGATGTATGTCATCGAATTCTTGCAATCCATCCGAATTTCCCTAAAATTAAACGAGATATCATGGACAAAGCAAGAGCTAATATTCGAACATAATAATTTTTATAAAACTACATATGAGGCGATATGAAGAGCATATCATTTGTTTTGTTTTTTTTAATATATATATATGTAAATATGCAAATGATGTCACATTTATGCTGAGCTGAGGCATTTTTTATTTTATTCTTTCATTTTTTACATTTTTTTGCAAATGTAGTTTTCTCCTTAAAATGAGAAAATTAATGAGTTTTTAAATTAATTGTCGCTCCTTAGAATGATAATTTTTCGTTTTCATCTTTGCTTTATTCGTGAAGTAGAAGTAAGATAGCGTAATCATAATGATTTAACTTTTAGATAGAAAAATCACCGAAAAAATTAGAAGTATTAATGTTAGGAAAGTGCATCGTTTTCCCTAGTTCTGTAAAAAGGTCTTGAATCAATTTTTTCGCATAATCTTCATTGATTTCTTGATTAAAACTCGTCGATTTAAATATTTGTGTTAAAACGCATATTAGGTAAAGCGTGGACGGTGGAAAAAAGTGATGGCTTCAATTGTTTTCAGATGTGGCATGGAATAAGAGGCTATCATTAATATAATATATAATATAATATAATATAATATAATATAATATAATAATATAATATAATATAATATAATATAATATAATATAATATAATATAATATAATATAATGAAATATAATATAATATAATATAATATAATATAATATAATATAA